TCGCGTTTGAGGACTGTATTACCAAGGTACAGGGGGTTCAAGTCTGGAGGTAAGTTTCTCCTTCTGTGAAAGATCGTGTAGTGGGTTTTCTCAAGGTTTAAGGTCAATTTATTACGTATTACCCAGGTCCCGACTTTAGTTAATTCAGTGTTCATAGTTTTCATCAAGGAATGGAGGTCTGAGTTGCTGGCATAGAGATTACTATCGTCTGCAAATAAGTTGTATTTTATGAGTGTGCTGGCGTGGACTATGTCGTTTATGTACAACAAAAACAGTACTGGACCGAGAATGGAACCTTGGGGGACGCCATACAAGATTGGCGAGGAGTCAGATTGGTGGTTATTATAGCAGACATACTGCAACCTGTTGGACAAATATGAGGTAAACCAATTGTGGGACAGGCCCCTAACGCCGTAATGTTCATGCTTTGAAAGGAGGATGGTATGGTCGACAGTATCGAAGGCTTTAGAGAGGTCCAAGAATATACCGACTGTGAACTGACTGTCATCAAAGGAATTTAAGATGGTAATGCTTATACAGTACAGTACTATGACCAAGTAGGTCTCTCGCAATGAAAGGCTGTTTATTTGTAGACAAGCTGTGGTGCCCGACTGTATAGCAGAAATAAACTGAGACATGGACCCGGATCTGTTACCACTGCTAACTTTTTACACACCATGTCGATAGCTACCACGTATACGTTCAGGCTACCGCATTAAATTCCACATATAACACACACACAAGCGTATAACTCACCTTCTGAAATTCTAAATTAAGGTACTCCTGCATTGTACGTCACCTTGGGTCACATGAAGATTAGTCCCCTCAGCTTAACCACCCTAACGTAAACTCCTCCAGGTATAGTGTTAGAATGTTTAATCATCACGTGAAATAAGCTGGGGTGTCTAATCTTCTGGTCATCCCACACAAGATACGTGAGTTTATCAGCGTTAAATTTCAAATTTGAAGATGTTTACGTGTATTTAACGCCACTCCATAGACTTTTTCACTCAGGAGAATTAGGTGTAAAATATTTCGTAACCTAAATTTTATCAGGTGCTATCGTTAGGAGATCAAAGGGTCGCTCACAAGTGTAAGACAAAACCCCCCTAGGACAAAACCCCCTTGAACAAACTAACCTAACCTAACCCAAGGGGGTTTTGTCCGGACCCCGTTCACACAGACTATGTACAGCACCTCTCCGTGATGACATTAATACGTAAGAAAATAAGGAGTCTGCAATAAGCCGGTTGGCCTAATATAGGATGATTCCATTCCTGAAATAATATAAACCGTCCCAGATGTTTCATGAACTATTACATTTGGCTGGTATACAGTTTAAACGGGCATACAGATTCCTAGGTGGCACGATACTGTCTTTGGAGCGTTAAAATAGTATGTTTAGGTGTGTACAAGAAGTGTTAACGTCTCCTGTGAAGACATTCACACACATACATGCATTTCTAACGTCTCATATTCACACATAATGTAGATGGACTATTTACCTCTCTTGAACTCAAACATACTGTATAATGGTCCTCTCATGTACCCACAACTACTAACGTCTCAGGTGCGCACACACACACACACACCTGTTAAAGTCTCAAGTCCGCACACACACACAGTCACAATTGTTAACGTCTCAAGTACACACACACACTTATTAACGTATCATACACATACAGCCCCGCTCGCACGAGCAATTTTTAGTCGGCCAAGTTTAATTGCATAAGTGACAACCATTGAGCCAAATGGGAGAATATGCAATTAAATAGTTGGGCGACTGAAAAGTTTGTGACATGCTACAACTTGTGCGCAATGGAATAGTTGGCCAATTCGTTTGTACATGCAAGATTCAAGTATGCGAGTGCATTAGCAGCGAACTGTCGGCCGACTCTAACCTCAGTCTGAAGGTGAGCTCTTATTTTCGTGCCTTAAAGTAACACATAGCCTCTCCTATGGGGGATGCTATTCCTCCATTTGGTATTTTGATATGTCATTGAAGGCCTAACAAGTAAAAAGAGTTCGTCAAAACTACTGACGCTCATCCTACAGTAAATTGAAAATTTGTTTGGGTAAGCTCGTAAATCTTAATACAATTGTAAATTTGTCCTTTAATCAGCCGTTGGCTTGTTATTGGATGAACCCAGTACTGTTTTTTACGTCTATTTTTCTTTTGACGAATTACCAACGAACAAACACAAGCTGTTTCGACGAAGTCCATAATACAACTGAAATAAATTGAACAACTGTGAATTGCAAGTGCGCGGGAATTCAAGTCGGCCAACAATTTCGTCGGCTGGCGCGTGAGAAAAACCGAATTGGCCGATAAACAGTTGACCAGCTAAAAATTGCATGTGCGCGGTAAGCCTTAACGTCTCGTGTACATATACAGACTATTAATGTTTCCTGCACACACACACACACACACACACACACACACACACACACACACACTACAGTAGTAACCTCTCATGTACACTTACACACACACACACACTATTACTCTCTTCTGAACATGTGAATTTGAAAAGACAGCTCCCTCCCTCTTTTAACCGCTTACCGATGACCTCTTAACATCATCCAACACTGAGAAAATTGCTGTCATATTGGTTTTATTTATTTTATAATTGTTCTCTCACAATTTAAGCTCACCACCAAATTTGTGACGCTTGTAAGAGCCGTTAGTTCATGGCCTGATATGGTTGGCCCTGGCATAATATCGTTCAAGGGGTTCCCATGGCAGGTACGTCTCATGGTAGGGGTCACATGGTAACAAAGTTTCGTGGTAAGTATGTCTCATGGTAGCAATGTTTCATGGCAGGTATGTCTCATGGTAGCAAAGTTTCATGGTAGGGATGTCTCATGGTAGGGGTCACATAGTAAGGATGTCTCATGGTAGAGGATGTCTCATGGTAGATGTCACATGGTAGCAAAATTTCATGGTAGAGGATGTTTCATGATAAGGGATGTCTCATAGTAGAGGATGTCTCATGGTAGGGTTCACAAAAAAACATTGGTAGGGATATCTCATGGTAGGGGACGTCTCAGAGTAGGGATGTCTCATGGTAGGAATGTCTCATGGTAAGGATGCCTCATGGTAAGGATGCCTCATGGTAAGGATGCCTCATGGTAGGGATGCCTCATGGTAGGAATGTCTCATGGTAAGGATGCCTCATGGTAGGGTTCACAAAGAAACATTGGTAGGGATGTCTCATGGTAGGGGACGTCTCAGAGTAGGGATGTCTCATGATAGATGATGTCTCATGGTAGGGGACGTCTCAGAGTAGGGATGTCTCATGATAGATGATGTCTCATGGTAGGGATGTCTCATGGTAAGGATGCCTCATGGTAGGAATGTCTCATGGTAAGGATGCCTCATGGTAGGGTTCACAAAGAAACATTGGTAGGGATGTCTCATGGTAGGGGACGTCTCATGGTAGGGGACGTCTCAGAGTAGGGATGTCTCATGGTAAGGATGCCTCATGGTAAGGATGCCTCATGGTAGGAATGTCTCATGGTAAGGATGCCTCATGGTAGGGTTCACAAAGAAACATTGGTAGGATGTCTCATGGTAGGGGACGTCTCATGGTAGGGACGTCTCAGAGTAGGGATGTCTCATGATAGATGATGTCTCATGGTAGGGATGTCTCATGGTAGGGGACGTCTCAGAGTAAAGATGTCTCATGGTAGGAATGTCTCATAGTAAGGATGCCTCATGGTAGGGTTCACAAAGAAACATTGGTAGGGATGTCTCATGGTAGGGGACGTCTCAGAGTAAAGATGTCTCATGGTAGGAATGTCTCATGGTAAGGATACCTCATGGTAGGGTTCACAAAGACATTGGTAGGGATGTCTCATGATAGAGGATGTCTCATGGTAGGGGACGTCTCAGAGTAGGGATGTCTCATGATAGATGATGTCTCATGGTAGGGATGTCTCATGGTAAGGATGCCTCATGGTAGGGATGTCTCATGATAGAGGATGTCTCATGGTAGGGGACTTTTCAGAGTAGGGATGTCTCATGGTAGGAATGTCTCATGGTAGGGATGTCTCATGATAGAGGATGTCTCATGGTAGGGGACTTCTCAGAGTAGGGATGTCTCATGATAGATGATGCCTCATGGTAGGGATGTCTCATGATAGAGGATGTCTCATGGTAGGGGTACTTCTCAGAGTAGGGATGTCTCATGGTAGGAATGTCTCATGGTAAGGATGCCTCATGGTAGGGACGTCCCCTGGTAGGGATGTTTCGTGGTAGGGATGTCTCAAGGTATTGGGTTGTCTCATGGTAGAGGATGTCTCAGAGTAGGGATGTCTCATGATAGCATACTTTCATGGTTGCGATGTTTCATGGCTAATGGCTAACAGTTTTAAGGACGCGCCTATTAGTCTAGCGACAGCCTATGTAAAGCTGGGGCTACCTGACTCTAGTACAGTTATAACTCTGGGCTACCTGGTGAGTGTCACATAACAGCGCGCGTGTGTGTGTGTGTGTAACATGACAGGGTGTGTAACGTAGCAGGGTGTGTGTGTGTGTGTGTGTGTGTAACGTAGTAGGGTGTGTGTGTGTGTGTGTGTGTGGTGTGTGTAACGTAGCAGGGTGTGTGTGTGTGTGTGTGTGTGTAACGTAGTAGGGTGTGTGTGTGTGTGTAACATGGTAGGATGTATGTAACGTTGTAGTGTGTGTTTGTGTGTGTGTGTGTAACATGGCAGCGTGTGTGTGTGTGACATGGCAGTGTGTGTAACATGGCAGGGTGAGTGTAACATATTGTAACATGGATGAGCTTGTTCACTTTTTCCCACAGGAGCGTTTAAGTCATAGTGGCGGCTATGAGGACATGAGACTCGACTCTGCTCGATGAAATAATTCACATTTAAGTTTCTGAACAAATCGTGCCATATCTGGAGTCATATGTTGGCAGCATCACTGCCGACGTAGGTTCGTATAAACACACACAAACATACACAGACTTAACATTTTAGGTGGGGGTACTTACAAAACCGTAGCCGCGGCTCTTGCTCGTTTGTCTGTCTGTGATGACCACAGCTTCCTCAATCTCGCCATAAACTTCGAAGTGTTCTCTAAGAGACTTGTCAGTGGTGTGGTATGGCAGTCCCCCCACGAAGATCTTTGTGAACGTAGTGTCTTTCTGACTGATGCCTGATGCTTCAATGGCTTGTTGGTGCATGGTAGGAGTAGTGATGCCTGAGGGAATGCCTGCGGGCATGGCACTGGGCATGAGCATGGTGGTGTTGTGGTAGTGGTGCGAGAGTGAAAAAAAATGGACTTTATAAGTCTGCGACGCTGGTAGACCAAAACGCGCGCACGTACCACGAGAGACTGAGCGAATGGGCCAACAAGCACCCGTAACGTCCACACTGGAAACTGCTGGCACTCCTACTTGCCATCATCAACCTCGCGAACCACTTTTTTAATCTTTGCAGAAAATAGTGTGAGACAAAATTTACAAATGTCTCAGTCGTAGTTTTATTACGAAATTCAAGTAGCTTACTTAATAGCATCCGGTAAGTCACGTTACCTAGTATTATAAGATCAAAAACAGCTCCATAGGCAACATCTTGGTAGCACGCGCTGAGGAACTGCCACCAACTACAGCACTGACTATTTTGTTTTAACCTTTACAACATATATATAGGCCAAAACTTTTGTGCCTAGCGATTGAATATATGTATAATAGAATGAAAAAACTCAATTGTACCATCCTATAACACGAAATACCGAGCAAAAATTTGATAAATATAGGCCCACTAGCAACTTGTATGTAGCACGCGTTGGGGTATTGCGCATGCGCCTCAGCTGAATAAGCCACGTGGGTCCCTCAGTTTATCTAACAAATATCTCCTTTGCAACGAACGTCTCTCCTAGAATATCCCTAATTTCCCATGTGCATCTCAGGAAACAAAGAAACTGTAAAGTGAGCAGCATTTACAGTACGCCCGCGCATGCACCTCGGCGTGAGTTCATGCACCGTAAAATATAGACTGCGTTAATGCGTGCGTGACAGTCAACATATTTCACGTCTCTCAGATGACATCAATAAACACAAGTCCTCCTTAACCAAACACACGCGTAGTTTTCAACAAACACATAAAACTGTGGAAGAGACTGCATGAGTGAAAATGTGTGCATATTATGACACGTATGTCAGTTTGTGTCTGGTGTGTATGTACAGTATATGTGCTTGTGTGTATTTATGGCATGCGTATAGCATGTATGTGTGTTTGATAAGATTGTGTACAGTGTGCGCAGGTAGATTGCCACCAGGTCACAGAAACACATTTGTGAGCTGGAGTCTTCCTTAATTATCACAATCTTCAGAAAACTGTTCACAGGATCCGTCTTTATAATTGGGCTTCTCGCTTCGATAGTACAGTCAGCACACTAACCTTGTACACTTCCTTGGTCTTTTCACTTTATATCGCTCACAACAATCCCACAATGCTTGCTCAACAATTATCTTTAGTTGTCATAGGCTGACGCTTATATATGTTATGGTTTTTGGCTAATCGGTTATTTTGCAAAATTCCCGGCATGCATATTGGTAATTTTGCGAAATAACTTATAAACAGACTAACCAAAGTTAAAAAAAGAACAGGACCACTTAACTGTGTATTAATCTGCACGAGCCCTCCTAACCTCACCTAACATAACCTAACCATAAGCTTAGGTTAGTTTAGTTGTCTGTTTGTGAGTTATTTCGCAAAATCACCAATATGCATGCAGGAAATCTTGCAAAATAACCGATTTCGCAAAAAACCATAACATATACAGTACATCATCAGATGATCCTGGAACGCCCTAGCACCACCCAGACAGGTCTGGGAAATTCAAGAACGTTTTACCCTGATCGAGGCTTAAAACAAAAAGTATATTATAACAAAAATGATGCAAAATATTCTAGAAAACTCTTACATAGATAATACATCAAATGTCTAGGAAAAAGGGTGTTGTTGTTTTTCAAGATACAGAGCTTTGGTCAGGTAGATGACGAATAAAATTGAGTTCAATCATTTTGTTGCATTTTACCAACCTTACGAATAACGAATATCTTTCCTGTCTTTCTATAAATCCAGAGAAAGAAAGAAAGAGATAGAGATAAAGAGAGACAGACAGACAGAAAGAGAGAAAGAGGTGGTGGTGTGGTAATAAAGTTTTACACAGGTGTCCTCCCACCTGCTGCCCTGAGGCAACCTCCCTCATATTACCACCTCCTGCTCCTCTCCACCTCCCTACCTACTTCCACCTGCCCCTCTTCTTCTTCCTCTTGCTCCTCCCCCTCCTCTCCATCTCCCCACCTACTTTCACCTTTCCCTCCTCTTCTCCTTCTCCTCCTACTACTACTACCGTCTTTACCTTCCTCCTTCTCACTACCAACTGTCCATCCTCCTCCCCTCAAGTACTCCCTGTCCCTGCTCCTCGCCTCTTCTTCCTGTTTCTACTCCCCTCTGCCCCCGTCTTCTTCCTCCTTTTCCTCCTCATCTCCCTCTCTCTATACTCTATTATTTCCCTCCTCCTCCTCCTGCTATTATTACCTATACTCTCTTTCTACTACATCCAGTCTTTACTCTTCTCTATTACCAGCTGCCTCTACTCCTCCTCCCTCAGACTACCACCTGCCACTCCTCCTCCCATACGACTATCACCTGCTTCTCTTAGTTTGGTTATGTTGTTGCGAACGTGTGGGATATTGTTGCCAATGTTTTGGGATATCGTTGTGAATGTGTGAGATATTGGAGTCAACTTAAAACACTGGATGATCATTGTTAATATTAAGTTATCCCTCAACGCCTTGTTATTTGCACATGTCCATAGTGTGAAAGGGGCCCACGTCGTCGCTATCTTTTCCTCAAGCTTTTCCAGTGTACACCGTTCAAAAGATGTAGTGCTTTGTAAGCTTGTAAAAGTTTTCAAACAACCCCGAGGAATGCATCCTACACCTCTGTTCAGATTCAAAATGAAATCATTCAGACCTCAAAGGAAATTGTCATAAAAAATGTAATATCTGGCATCAAAGAAGCAGACAAGTCGTTTCTTTACTATCAAAGCAGATGGAGCACGTGATCCAACAGATACATAAAACATATTCCTGGTTGCCCGGTATGTAAAGACTGGAAAATACATAAAAGTTCACTAGGTATGCCAACAATAAATGATTTGGATGCAGCAAGTTTAGCTTGTGTAACATTGCAAACTCTGAAGGACTGTGGTCTGGATTCCAAGAACATACAGTACTTACTGTCGTAATGCTATTAATGGAGCTTACATAATGTCAGGAAGACAGAGATGTTCAAACGAAAATACAAGATCAGCCTCAGAAAGAAGTACCATCCTGCTTTAACCACCAACTACATTTGGTTATAGACAGTGCATGCTATTGGAATACAAGCAGATGTTGAAATATTGTTCACAACTTCCAACAACCTATACAACTTCCTACGCCATCTACAATTGAACAGAATCTCTGATGGGACTAAACTGAAGCGCCTGCTAGAACAGCGGTGGTCAGGTCACCTGGCCACTGAGTTAGCAAGTATAGCTAACCATGAAAATTTGATGACTGCACTTTAAATCTGTGCGGAAAATGAGTGTCATGTAGCAGTGTGCATTGAGGCAACTGGGTTATTAAAAAAGGCAAAACGCAGACAATTCTTGTTTATTCCATACCGTGTGAAAGAAATTCTGCTGATACTTCGACCTGCAGATCAACTTTACAATCACGTGACTGATTTCATGACAGGTATTCATCTTATATTACTGAAGCGATATTTTGCTATAGGTTAGGTTAGTTTGGATTGGGTTAGGTTAGCTTAGTTTGGATTGGGTTAGGTTAGGTTAGCTTAGTTTGGATTGGGTTAGGTTAGGTTAGCTTAGTTTGGATTGGGTTAGGTTAGGTTCATTTAAATTGGGTTAGGTGAGAATAAAATCCAAACGCAAAATCAAGCTTTCTTGTTATTTTGAAACCAACCACAACGCGTTGTGGTCGCTTTTCGTTTTCTGAGCCCAACATATGCATTTCTATTTATTTACTAGCAGAAACGCCGCCCTCCGGGCGGCTCATTCGCTAGGCCACGGTAGGACGCCACCCTCCGGGAGGCTCCACATTGTCTCACTGTTCAGTCCCCAAAACTTCTTCTTCCATCAATAGTTCATTAACGGTGTATGTAAGTTCCACCATGTTTTTCACTACAACGGTACAGCAAAGTATATTTTTTTAGCATTAAACTGTTATTATTTTATTGTCTAATCATCACTACATATAACACCACCCGTCATCACTACATATAACACCATCCATCATCACTACATATAACACCATCCATCATCACTACATATAACACCATCCATCATCACTACATATAACATCATCCATCATCACTACATATAACACCATCCATCATCACTACATATAACACCATCCATCATCACTACATATAACACCATCATCACTACATATAACACCATCCATCATCACTACATATCATCCATCATCACATCACATCACATATAACATCATCCATCATCACTACATATAATACCATCCATCACATATAACACCATCCATATATATCCATCATCACTACATCATCCACTTCATCATCATCATATAACACCATCCACATATAACACCCCTTCATCATCTACATATAACACATCATCCATCTCATCATCACTACATCCATCATCACTACCATACCATCATCATCATCATCATCACATATAACATCATCCATCATTACTACATATAACACCATTCATCATCACTACATATAACACCATCCATCATCACTACATATAACACCATTCATCATCACTACATATAACACCATCCGTCATCACTACATATAACACCATTCATCATCACTACATATAACACCATTCATCATCACTACATATAACACCATCCATCATCACTACATATAACACCATTCATCATCACTACATATCATCACACATATAACACCCATCATCACTACA